AAACTTCCAAGCAAGATAAGTCAAAATGCAAGCTTCAAATGGATCCTTGGCCAACATGAAACTTGTAGAGGATCTCAAGACCTTTAATTTGAGTGGTGGAAGACATCAAGGAGATTTATAGAACTCAAGTTATGGTCCTTGCAAGTTACAGGTCATCTGAGGTATCTGAAATTTTGTCTGTGAAAGTGACTTGACTTCCAAGCAATGTTTACCCCTCAAGGAGATTTCAAATGAATTTCTGGTCAACATAAGCATTGTTCCTTATTGTCTTAGCTTTCTAGAATGGTATAGTATGCCTTCATATGATGTGTGGAACTCAACTTATGGTCTTGGCAAGCAAAGGGTATTTTGGTCATTTGTGAATTACAGGTCATTTTAACCTATGTCCAAAACTCATACAAGGAGGCCTCAAATGGAAAACCTTACAACATCAAACTTGCTCCAAATGACATTTTGAGTCTAGAAAAGTGACCATGAGAGATTGGAAATGTCCATAGCACAAGGTTTCAAAATTGTTGAATTTAATGAAGAAAAATGGCTTAAAAAATGAGATTTTTCATATCTTGGCCAAATGATGCAAAATTATAGGTCATTTTGAATGGAAAGGGCATTTTAAAGACATTGGCTAAAATGGAATTTTGAGTTTAGTTCATAATTTGATAGTTATCCATGGTTGCTTGAATTGAAAGTTACATAATCAACATCCAAGGGAATTTGCACAAGGGAAACTTCTCCAAGCTTCTAGGAAGTTCTAGTCCCATCTATATATTCATACAAGTTGGTTCATGCAAGGGTTGGTGCTCCCATTTTTTCAAAACCTCAATTTTCATTCATTTTCCCATTCTTGTATAAGCTTCTCAAACTCCCTCAAATCTTCATCATTTTGCAAAATTCTTGATCCTATCATTCTCTACAATCATCATAGAACAAGTTTCAAGCAAGATCCGGTTGAGATAATTCCAAATTCGTGTGTTGCATGTTCATCCTCAAAAGTGCAAGAAGAATCCATTACAAGAATTCAGAGTGTTTGAGCAAGTGTGGATGCATACAGAACCAGGACCCAAGCACATTGATCAAGCTTAAGACATTGGTGAACTCGAAGTGGAAGATTCATCATTCTGTTTTCAAGATTATACCAGGTACATTCTCCATTCAAATTGTCCTGATTTAGTTAGCATGGCATAGGTTTGTTAGGATAATAGTGACCTATGTGGTTAGAGGAGTAATCCTGGAACTTTTAGTGTGAATTGATGAAGATTTTTGCATGAGCCATAAAACTGTTTTGATCCATAACTAGGAGATTAGTGAGTGATAGTTCATTTGGATTAGTGTAGAATGATCAGTGATGTTTGATGAGTGTTCTGTTAGCAAGAAATTAGGGTTTAGTGAAGGTCAGAATTGAAGCAGCCATGGAAGGGAAGCTATCGTGTTTGGTGATTGGGCAAATTTTAACGAGAACTGATGATGTATTTGCATTCTACGTAAAAAATGGAGCAAGTTTGGTGTTTGTGGTTTTGATTTTTATGAAGAGATGAGAAAGAACCGAGTGCTTAAAGATGGAGAAATCGTGCATGGGGTTATCTGAAACCCTAGGGAGTCCAAGGTTGGTGATGACTCCAACACCGTCGGATGCGCGTTTGACCTTGGACTGGATTGTAGCATCTAACGATCCACATTTAAAGCTGAAAACGGAGGGAAGAATTTGATATGAAACGCAGCGTTTCATTTAAGTATCCTGGGTGGGCCTGGATTCAATTCGCTATGCACACCTCCTTTCCAACAAGCCCAATGAAATACACATGAGCTGGCTGCTATTTACACCGAGCTCCTCTCCATTTTTCTGGCATTTTTTTAATTCAATTTCTGGATACGCTGGGCCTAGCTACAAGTGATATTCGCACCCCACTTCCTCAGCCCAACTGGGATCTCAACCGCAGCGCATTGCTTTCCACACCCCTTCCCATTTATTCCTAATATTTCTATTTTAATTTCTTTCATTTTTTATGCATCTTATAAAAATCATAATAAATAGAAAAAACATCATTTTTAATTCATTCTTTTTGCATATTTTTCTTTAGGATGTCTAGAAAATTATAAAAAATAAAAATTGCATTTTATTTTTTATTTGGTATTTTTCCCATATTTTCTAAATAAATGACATTTTAAATAGTTTCATTTCATACATGATTTTGTTATTTTTTGTTCTATTAATTGCTTCAATATTTTTTGTCCGTTCTTTTTAGGTTGTTTAGGTTGGACATTCAACTTGTAGATACCATTTAGTTCCCATTTTTAGAAATTAATTTTAGGTGTTTAGTTTAGGTGTGAACAACATGGACAAAACTAGGGTTTTAGGTGATGACTTAGGAGATTTGATTCTTTTCCCTTAAGACTTAGGGCTTGACTAGTTTAGTTATGGGACTATAGGGGCTATGGGTAGTTATTAGATCCCTTAGAAAAAGTCAGGATTCCCCTACTGCTATTACTGTACTGTATATATCTGATTGACTGGTGTGGTATGCCCTCTGGGGATTATTGCTTGTTGGTGTGGGTATTAGGATTGTCTGGGGATTTGGGAGAGCTGAAGACTTGAGGAGATGAAGGCCATTGGAGATCCAGATGTTGGAGATCAACTTCCAGAGTTGAAGATAAGGTTCTTGCTAGCAGCTGCTGAGAGACTAGGGTTTAGGAGCTAGGCAGAACTCTAGATTAGAAAGCTTGTTTCTCAAACATGGATTGCCTTGTCTGCATCCATTCTTCTCTGTGATTCAGAGTCTCTCTAAGACACTCACCCCCTTCCTTTGGAAGGCTTGGTGATAGTGTCTAAGAGATAGAACTCTTGAGAGAAAATGTCTTTTGTGTTAGAAGCAGTCTGTTCACCACCTTTGGTAGTCAACTGATTGCTTAACACCCAATTCACTCTTGTGACTGATCCCTCATCCTGGAGGTTTGAACTTGAAGAAAAGCCATTGCAGATAGAAGACTGATGATCAAAGCCCTTACCTGAAGATCATGAAGATGGAGATTGATGCTTGTTGAAGCCCATAGCTGATTGGAGATTACTTGGAGTCAGATGTTGATTCAGAGCTGCTGAAGCTGTTTGTTTTATTGCTATATTTCATTTCTGATGTATTGATTGGTTTTCTAGACTGTATTGTTTGTTGTTTACCCTGCTGGGTTGAAAGTGAAGTCTGTTCACTTTTGCCTATTGTTTTCTAGGTTCGAGGTTGAGTGGGACTCCCTTGCCTCGCTTGTACTGTTGCATCCATGCATTTTACTGCTTTATTATATCTGTTATTGTTTCTGTTTCTGCCTATCCCGTAGGATCTCTGTTTCTCTCTGTGCAAGAGAGGAGCATGATAGACACTAGGTCTTAACCCATGCATGATAACATTAGGATAGTTTGATTCCCTTCGCAACCGTAGGTTAGAGCTCTGTCTCTTTCTTTCTCAAAACAAACAGAAAAACACATAAAGATTTCAAACACAATAAAAGACACTTCTTTCGTAAAAGAATGTGAACTCATCAAAGCGTCATTTTTGTCCGCTGGGACTGTTGATCAGAAAACCTTTTTCAGAAGGAATAAAATCAACCAAGACAAGCTTGTGTCGTACGTGGCCCGAACTACGTTTGCTCTGATCTTCCATGCTGTGTGGAAGTACGTAGGCATAGGATGCGATATCCTAGCGAGCAACCTTCCATACCTGAAAACAAGCGTGGATCCCGTCGAGTACGACGGACGTGAGGGGTGCTAATACCTTCCCCTGGCGTAACCGACTCCCGAATCCAGGTTTTGGTTGCGACGACCATACCTTTCCCGTGTTGTACGAGGTTTACTCTGAGCGTTTCCTTTCTCTCCCGTGGGATAAATAACGCACGGTGGCGAATCTTCTGTTCAGCCGGCGCCGATTTTCGCAGTAGCGATAGCAGCGCTTCAGAATCTTCTGATAGTCTTGCATCTGATGCTTTAGAGCCTTGCGTAGTTTCTTGTACTTATGTATTTTGCTTCTTTAAGAGTTTTTAATTTAATACCTGAAACAATAATACTTGAACAAATTTTAGAGTATATATATTCTTAATACAAAATTCCATAAGAGTTATCATCAAAACATAGAGATATAGGAAACACCAATCTGTGTTCTAACACAAATTATAACCAGTATCGCGGGCAATTGCGAGAAAAGTTAAGTGGCCAATTAAAATGTCGATGGAATCAAATAAATGCGTCGGTTCAAAAATTTGTTGGGTGTTATAGACAAGCTGTCAATGGAAAGAAAAGTGGGACATCGGAGAATGATATCATGGCTGCTGCACATGCTTTTTATGCTCAAGATCAAGGTACAACATTCAATCTTGAGTATGCATGGTGATTGTTAAAAGATGAAGCTAAATGGGGAATCATCGGAGAATCGATTGGAAGTTCTTCAAAAATGACACAGACTTCTGCTAGTGGGGCATCATCGGAGACCCCTGATACACCTTCAAGTTATGAGTTTAACTCATCATCACCAATGGAACGTCCAATGGGACAAAAAGCATCAAAAAGGAAGTGTAAGGCAAAGAAAATTTCAAATGCAACGCAAGATGCAAGGAATAAAAGAGCAAAAACAATGGAAACACTTGCGCAAAGTAAGGAGGACGAGATAGAATTAAAGGTAATGCAAATCATGATGAAAGACACTTCTACTATGAACGAAAGTCAACGAGATATTCATGAAAAATATTGTAATAAAATGAAAAAAAATATGGACTGTAGTTAGTACTACTATAAATTATATTTAAAATGGTCATTAGTACCACTTTAATTTATCAAATCCTATGTAAAATGGTCATTAGTACCACTTTAAATCATAATAAATATTATGTTGTTCAAACTAGCCGTTATTCAAACTAGCCGTTATTCAAACAAGCCGTTATGAATAACTAGCCTTTATTCAAACCATTATATATACTACCACTTATGTCATTGTTTTCTCATTCTCTTCTTATTCCTCACTAAAATGGATTCAGACAATTCAGATAATTATGATCAAGAATTTTGGGAGTTAGTTGAAGAAGAATTTATGGACGACAGTGATGAAGAACAACATCTTCAAAATGAATGTCAATTTGGAAGTTCCTCTAGGCCAAAGAGAAGAACTGCAGTAGATCGAGGTCGTGAAGAAGGGCCCAATCGGTTATTCAATGACTACTTCTCAGAAAATTCAGTATACACAGATGTACAATTCCGAAGAAGGTTTAGAATGCATAGGCATGTGTTTCTTCGAATTGTAGATGCCCTCGGCAATCATGATGAATATTTCCAAATGAGGGTCGATGCAACTGGTAAGATGGGTCTTTCACCATTGCAGAAATGCACATCTGCTATTCGTATGTTGGCATGTGGGTCTCCCACTGACATTGTAGACGAATATGTTCGAATCGGTGAAAGTACCTCAATTGAGTGCTTAGAAAGATTCGTTAAGGGCGTGAATGTTGTATTTAGGGATGAGTATTTGAGAAAGCCTAACAACACTGATATTGAACATCTTTTACAAATGGGTGAGTCACGTGGCTTTCCAGGTATGTTGGGTTCCATTGATTGTATGCACTGGGAATGGAAGAATTGTCCTGTTGCATGGAAATGACAGTTTTGTCGAGGTGATCATGGTAAACCCACGATCATGCTTGAAGCAGTGGCATCACAAGACTTGTGGATTTGGCATGCATTTTTTGGTATTGCAGGTTCAAACAATGACATTAATGTGTTAAACCAATCCAATGTGTTTAGCGATATTTTGGAAGGACGTGCTGCTAATGTGCAATATACAATCAGTGGAACTCCTTATAATATGGGGTATTATTTAGCAGATGACATTTATCCTGAGTGGGCTACATTTGTCAAAACTATTTCGATGCCACAAGGAGAAAAGAGAAAACTATTTGCACAACACCAAGAATCAGCTAGAAAGGATGTGGAACGGGCATTCAGAGTGCTTCAATCTCGTTTTGCAATAATACGTGGTCCGGCGCGTGATTGGCACATGGAAACCCTCAAGCATACCATATATGCTTGCATCATATTGCACAACATGATTGTCGAAGACGAACGACACACATATGGAGGTGATTTTGATTACTCTTACGATAATGTCGGTAACAACAACTCAACGACTGAAACATTTAACGGTCCTCATCCGAATCTTGCAACAAGACTACAAAGAAGAGCAACTCTTCGTGAAAAACAAGTTCATCGTCAACTTCAAGGAGATCCATTCGAACATATTTGGGAACGTTTTGGACATGAGGACGATGAAAATTAAATTTGAGTAATTATGTTATGTAATTTATTTTTATTGTTTTTAATTATATGTCATGTATTTGAGATTAATTTTAAATTTTATGTTTAATTTTAATTTTATTTATTTTATATTAATTTAAATTTAAATAATTTAAATTATTATTTAAATCAAATAAAATTTAGTATAAATAAAATATTAATATACAAAGTAAAATTGTGGGACCCAATATAAGTTCTTTAGAATTTCACTATTGGAGTGAAAAATGGAGTGAGTTGCTTCAAGATGATGTGGTTTAATGGGTCCCACAAAGAACCCAAATATGAGTAGCACCATTGGAGATGCTCTTACCCTCCTCAAATCACAAGATCAAACAATCGACATTTCTTTAGCAGTTCATACACAATCATTCATTATATTACACAACCAATACACAATGTCATACCTAAAATTTTACCCTCATATTTTTTTGCATTGCCTGTATAGCATATCATGTCTGTCATTTTTCATAATACCCAATTTATCAACTAAAATAAACTTGTCGGATTTACAGCCGAATCGGTCAAATAAAAAGTCAACTGCGCGTAAAATCAGTGGACACAATTTTTTAAAATCGAGCCTGCAAATGTTAGTGATATTAATCTGCGTTTCACGTAGTTTAACCTGACGTGCTCATTTAATTTTTTCAACCACTTTTCGGTCGCGTTTTTAGACAGTTTAAACCATTTTAACGGGTAAAATTTATTTTGAAATTTGACCAAAAGTTGTATTTTTCTGAATCGTATATTTTTTGCTGATCATTTTGGTGTATTCATTTTATTTTTTTCGGAACACTTCGATACCGGTCCAATTATTCGTTTTACCGATGTTTCTTCTATTTTTTTATTAGTAGTTTTTTTTATATAATTTTCTTTTACTTTTCCTTTTCTGCTTTTTTTGTTTTTGTTTTTTATTTATTATATTCATTTAGTTTTGCTATTATTATTATTATTATTATTATTATTATTATTTAATATTTCAATTTTTGTCATTATTTAATTTAAGTAAAACTTGTATACTAAGTATAAGTAGGTTTTGTTTTATGTTCATTTTAGTGAAATATTTGTAGCAAGCTACCCTCAATTAATACTTCACAACCACATAAAATTGTACCGTCATGCTTCACTCTCTCACGCGGTCCCTATCCTCACAACACTTACTACTTCTCTCCCTCCATCAACAAGAACAAAAGATACTCCACTACTTTCTTCACCATTTGAACTTCACTACCTTAATACCAAATAACACATCGATTTACACTTTTTTTTTTCCATAATATTTTTCATGTTTACACTTCATACATTTCACGCCAAACTTTATCATCATAGTATATACTTCTCTGTCACTTCCACACATAACAACAAGCGTTGCAGCCACCATTAAAAAACCCACAGACCACGCTTCAAAGACCAGACAACATTTTGTCACAGCAGCAAAACTCAGCTCCGTTTCCAACACGACCCGGTTACATTCCTGTTTCCGTCTTGCCGTTCCGCCATCACTGCTTCAGCTCCCTCTCGACCCTCTTCCGTCGATCCCACCAAACACCTTGTAATACTTCAGTTTTCAACAAATAAATCTCATCCGAAAAACTTACACACGGCACCGCAATTCTGCAAGAGGAAGCGAAGCACAGGGAACAGAGGAAAACAGCAGCATTGTGACAACGTGTCGGTAACGATTTTATTTGAAAATTTTGTTTTTGTTGTTTTCTGCTGCAATTAGCTATGTTTACTTAATAAGATAGGGTGTATGTGTTTGTAGAATTGTGCATGTAGCAGCAACGTGCGAAGTTCATTTTTTATGAGTGTTTGGGACAACTTCAATTTGTTGGTTTCTTTTTTCCAGTTTGTGTGTTGTTAGCTATGCTTATTAATAAATGCTTGCTAGAATGAGGAAACTCTACTATGTTATATACCACAGGATTGCTATGTTGACACCATTTTTTACACTTTACACTTAATTTACTGTTCACAAATACTAGAACAAATTTCTCAGAATATGGTTAATAGTGTGTATTTTATTGGTTAATGAAGTACTGAAAGTGGTTAATAAATTATAGGTAAAATAATTGGCTAATGGTGTAGATTTTTGTGGTTAATGCACCTGTGAAGTTGGTTAATGCAATTTTATATTTGTGTTATAAAATAAATTTTAAAAATAAATATTTTTTTTTAAAATATTAATATTTTAAAAAAATATATTATTTTAATAAAAAAACACTGTTCACCGTATAAATACGGTGATCAGTGTATACGTTGTAAGTATTGGAGGTAAAAAATGGTGTAAAAATAGCATTTTTCTTATATACCATAATAATATAATTGGAAATAAACTTATTTTTGTATGTTATGTAGAATTTTAATGGTAAATTAATTTCTTTTATTTGGTATGGGCATTAGTAACCATGTTGTTGTGTTCAGTGTTTTTGTTAACGTGAAATATGTTCATGTAATTTTCTTTTCAATGTTTCTCAGCATGTAGTTCTGTTTATATATAAGATAATCTCAGCATGTATTTTAATATAAGGATATGATTAGTTTTAGCATGACTTTAGTTTAGAAATAAGATAGTTTTAGTATATGATTTTTGTTTAGAAAAATTGTTTGTTTCGTTTTTGTAAAAAATTCATTTTTAATTATTTATTTAAATCCTTTTTTATTTTATTACTTGTTTTATTTGTTAAGTTATAATTATAATAAAAATTAGAAAAGACCAAATTTACATTGTTATGATTTTTATTCTTAACTATTTGTTAGTTATTTGTTAAGTAAAAATACCAAAAAATACATAAATATTTTGCTTTATTATTTTATTAAGTTTTTGTGTGATATTATAAAAATGTAAAGAAAATTGTTTTAATCTTTTTTTTCGTTTTTTTAATATAGGAAAATACCAAATATATATTTATCTTTTATTTCATTAGTTTTTTTTTGTGATATTTAAAAATGTAAAAATGTAGGTTTTAATTGTTAATTAATCTAAATATTCTTATTTAATTTGATTTATTAAATTATTAGTTAGTCTTATTAAATATTAATATTCAAATTAATTAGTAATTTTTTTGTTAGAGTCAATTGACATTTACAACTTAGTATTGGAGTCGCTGTGCTCCAGATAGTTGTCCTGCCGTGGACATTTCCCTTGTTTACCCTTGCCATAGGACTTTGAGTCGCCGTGCTCTATTTAATCGTCCCGCCGTGGACATCTTTTACCCTTTTATCCTATCCCTAGGATCTGAGTCGCCGTACTCATGTTTAGCGTCCCGCCGTGGATATTCTCTACCATAACAATCTCAACGTAGATTCAGGAGTCGCCGCACTCCATGTAAGTACTTCCCTATGAATGCTTACATCCTCTTGAAACCTTGACCACAGTCAAGAGTTCCTCACCCCTAGCTAGGGGAACTACGGTTGCTCTGATTCCATTCCCGTCAGGATACGTAGGCACGAGATGCGATGTCTTGGCGAGCATACTTAGTGTATATACCCTTAGGTCTTAACCTTAGCACATTTCCTTTAGCAAGCAAACTTTAGCAAACACAAATATTAACAAGAGGTTCCTGTAGAGTACTACAGATACTTAGGATGCTAACACCTTCCCTAAGTATAACCAACCCCGAATCTTTAGATCTCTATTTGCTTAGCTTTATGCCTTCCTTTTGCTTTGCATTTTATAGGTTTTTCTTTCTTTAAACCTTTCCTTTTTGGATAAATTAAAGTCCGGTTGTGAATTTAAGAATTAAAGATTCAAGTTAATTCAATAGCTTGATATCCGATTCTCACCGCAACAGAAATGACGACTTCACTAGGGAAATCCCCTAAGAGGGTTAAGCCCATCTTGTTTATATTTGTGTTTGCTTAATGTTTGCTTGCTTTTATACTTGTATATTTGTATATATATGTACATATATCTGTCTGTGCTTGGGTTTTTCTGTATGCAGGGTTGTTACCTTGAGTGGTGAGGATAAGTCCTATACCCGGACTTGAGTGCACTTATGATAGGAAGGTGGTATATTCAAGAAGGCTTATAGGGAGTTGATTCCCGACCAAGCTGACTTGAGAAACCACCACTCAGTGGAGGCCCTCTTGGGAGTAGTTTTGTTGAACGAGTATTCGTGAAGACATTACTACTTTCGACCTAGGAGCCTGTGACACTGAGGACATTTAGTTACCTTTTACCTCCACTTGGTCTTTTAGGACGTAGTGCGATGACTATGAGGGAGTATTCCCGAAATGGTTGATACGCGATACTACACTTGAACGAGACTCTCTTAAGAATATTATCGACTACCGAGTGATTTGGGAAATTGATAATATCCGAAAGATGGGTTGTTGACTCCGAGAACTTCTTAGAACCCTGTTCTGCAGATTTGAGGACCCTTAGTACACACCCTGTGGTTGGTTCTTTACCCAGACCTCATGTTGTGATCTCGAACCTTTGACCCTGTTATGTGTGTTTTGCATCCTGTCTTACATCGCATTGCGTTGCATTTGCATCTTTACATGGTTCATCACATACGTCTGTTTGTCCAGTGACTCATGTCTAATCATTTGATCTTCCAGTGTGCCTTTGAGTCGTCAAGCTGATTCCTCAACACCGATATCGGACTAGAGCCAACTATAGACGCAAGATGTCAGAGCAGGAAGTACACAATGCAGAAATCTGAATGGAGATTGATGAGTTGAAGTCAGGCATGACTAAGCTCACCGAGATGCTTCAAGTCTTGTTGGCCAGAGGAGACTCTCAAAGGACTGTTATTCAGGAAGTTTCAAGTGCTGATCCTCCTCCTGTTCAAATGCCACCATCTACTTGGCCAGAGTTTGGTATACCTCCTAACTACTCTCCACCTTTTGCTTCTACCGCTATGATTGGTCAGACTGTCAGACCAATTTTTCAAGCTCCCGTCTTTGCTGAGCCCAGACCTGTGGTTCACACTGTTAACCAAACTGTCCGAACTCCCTTTGAGAATCCTCTATATGAGT